GACAGTCAGGACTGCTGAGAGGATTATTGGTGCCCCTCTGCCCAGCCTCCAAGATCTTTACATCTCCAGAGTGAGGAAAAGGGCTAAAAAAATCACCTTGGACCCCTCACACCCAGCCCACTCAATCTTCGAACTGTTGCCTTCTGGTCGGCGCTACAGAGCACTGACCACCAGAACAGCCAGGCACAAGTACAGTTTTTTCCCGCAGGCTATATTCAGCCTGAACAATTAAACTTTCATAATTATACACCGTCCATCACAACTGACATATTTATACACAGAATCCAAAATTTGTATACTTGTAAACTGCACACTTTGGAAATAACATATCTGCACACTTATAGCATATCTGTACATTTATCTAAACAATTACATTTTTTCCCCTATACTTTTATTTCTGTATATAGTACATTATTTAATATCCGTTTTTTTTTTTTTTTATTATTATTACAGTAGTGTTATATTCCATCCCTACTGTGTTATTCCTATGTATGTCTGCACTATGTCTGTACTTTCTTCTGCACTGGAAGCTCCTGTCATCAAGTCAAATTCCTTGTGTGTGTAAACATACTTGGTAATAAAGCTCTTCTGATTCTGATGCAATGATACAAAAAAAGTAATGTGATTTTAGTATTCATTATGTCAAACTTCATAAAGAAACATTAAAAATAAAAGTGAAACCAAACTTTTATAAAAATTAGTTTCACAGTGTAATGTAATAATTATGCTAAATGTTTATATTTTACAAAACATTACTAAGTGGCAGGTGAGAGAGAGGGAGAAAAAAAGAAAAACTAAGGGACAAAGGTTGCAGCTCTGTTTGTGTCCATCAGGCAAGCCTGTAATCTAAAGAAAACGAAGAGACAGCCACAGACAGCTGGAGATCTCAGCAGCACCAGGAGGAAGAGGAATCAGGCCACCCTGAATCTTTTTAACAGCAGCTGCTGTCAGGACACAGCCATTTTCATTTGACTTAATGCCTGCTGTACTTGAACTTCAAACGCTTTCGATCTTAAAACAGCAGGATTCGTGTCAAATCGCTCAGGCCTGATGATGACCTGAGATTTTACACTTTTAGGAGGGAGGTGAGGTGGACACTTAGTAATTGTTTTTGTTTGACGTCATGTGGAGTATCGGAGCCCACTCGTGTGCATACTTATGTAGAGATGCACACTAGCGCACGATTCCTGACTGAGGGGCTGGTTGTTCATAAGAGGGCTCTGTTCTACATTTCAGAGGCCAAGGTCACCAGACGTGCTCATATGAGGAAGTTCCTCACTAATGAGCTCAATTATCAAGCTGAATGAGGGGCGAATATTCCTCCTCTGTTCATGTCCATGATGTCAGGATTTGGTCTTTTTCTTTTAAGTATGTTTTCAATACCGCCTGCTAGAACTCATTAGAAACATTAAAGGCAACGAGTGTTTTTCTCATTACTAGAAGTGAGTTCAAATTCAGTCTTTGATCTGAACATTCAAAAACAAAGTGGCACTTATATATTTTGTGCTTGAGTTTAAGCAAAAAACATAAGTTTGGTTTAGGGTTAGGGTTAGACTTTAAACATCATTAAATGTCATTATCTATAATTAGCTATTTTTTTTCTAAACTTACAAAATGAAAGTTTCTTCTGTCGATACCCTTGTGAAAAAGAAGTACAATTTAACACGTTTAATGTACTTATTATGAATATATGTCATACCGAATGTTATGCTTCTAGCACTTAATTGCATGTTAATTGCAATTAGAATGTATTATTATATTAAATGTATATTAAATGCAATTTTAATGCTTTTACATTATTTTTTGACTTAGGACTTAAGTGCATCTTCATATGCAATTAATGAATTACTTCTATTGTTTTTAAAATATTGTTAAAGTGAACTGCTGAATGTACTGATCAGCATTTATGGTATTGGAACTTGTATGTCATGTTTTTAAAAATATTTGTAATTACACATTTGCACTGATGAAGAAATTTAATGAAGAATTTTGTACATTTAAAATATTTAAAACTTAAAACACACTACAGTTAAAATTATAATCATGTGCTTTAAATAGTCAACACATCAAAAAGTAACTAAAAGCAAGATAACGATTTAGAATGTACTTTAAAAATAAAACTTTAATTTGACATTATTACAAAGTGCACTTTTTAAAATTGTGTTTAGAAATATTCATCAAAGTGTACTCTCTTTAAGCACAATTAAGTTGCCTTTTATTCCATTGATATTATCTGCAAGTACAGCTTTTTTTAAATCTACATTAGAGAACACAAGTGCACATACAATAATGCACGTACTTTCATTAGGAACTAAAAAGAAGATGTTTTGAAGAATGTTCATGCTGCTCTTTTTCACCACCTACCATACTTATGAGGCTCTATCAACCTCCCAAAAGGACAAAAAATAAAAAATAAATAAATAAATTAATTAATTAATATAAAAATATAGCTTGGGCCCTATATTTCAAGTCTTCTGAAGCCATACAGAGGATTTGTGTAAGGAAAAACAACTGTCATAGTTCTTAAATCACATTACATCTTACACATATAATCAAAACTCTAAATATAAAGTAACACTGTGTGTTATAAAGTTGCAGATATGAGAAAAATAAGCAATTGCAAAATTTAAACTTACATTACAAAACATAAAGTCACAATTATGTTTCTGCCAGCTTGAGTTCACTGCATGCTTTCATTATGAGCATTTGCAAATCAAGAAAGGCAACATGACAGAATTAACCTGTTAAACAGTCCCAGAAAGACACCTCAGACAGAGTAAAACTTTCCTTCACTGTATATATTGGCTTTTCTCTGCTCATTGGATAAACTCTGTCCATCTCCCTCACTTCTCTATAGTGCTTATCCTCATCTGACCCTGTGCATGACCCTTATGACTCCCTGATCATTATTCTCTGCAAAAAGAAGACAAGAAAGTAATCCGCCAAAAGAGACCAGCCTAAAACCATTAGTTTGAGTAATGAGAAAAAGAAACTCAGCTCCAAATTATAAAACAACTATAATAACAAAAGAAAATCTTAAAGTATATGGTCCACTTTTGTGTTATGTGGTGAATTTTACAATTATTTTAGTTAATGCTTAATGTCTTTATGACACATTACATACAATAAAATGCTAGTTAGTTTTTTATTTATTGCAACACTACAGTACCTTAGTAAGCACCTTTATATGCCCACATTTATACTTGAGTGATGTCCATTCAGATTATGATAGATTCTATTATTAATAAAAAAGCTAAATATATTCATAAATATCAGAAGAACAAACGATAAGAGTAAAATAAGAAGGTCCACCAATCCTTGAGCTGCGAATGGCTGTGTAGCACCTGCGGCTCTGCAGAAAAAACAACAAAAAAAAAACAATTACAAAATCCAAGAGGGACATTTGAACATGCAACACTAAAATTATTTTCATGACGTTGTACTAGCATTATAAGTGAACATCAGAGGAAAAAACTAAATAAAATGAATGGACCCCTTTAAAGAATGCTATGTGTGTGTAGTAGTAGCACATTGAAGATGTAATAAAATAAAGAGGACATTTAGAGCACTGTGCACAATGTACTGTGGAGCTCTTTAATGTGAACACACACACCCACTCTTGGAATGGAAAAGCTCTCTTTCTCTCTGTACTAATGTCTCTGTCATCAGTCAGAGAAGAGAGCAGTTAAAAGCAAATGAATTATATGGATTCACATAAGTTGCATAATGGACAAACAAGAAGAACAAGGGATTTTGTTCATATGTTCCGTACTGGCAATGACTAGCAGCATTCAAAGGCTGAAACTGAACGTGGGAGGGTTCATGAGCGAGGGAGAAACTGAGTGTGTGCACTGGGACGAGAGACAGCAGAACAATAATACAAACTCTGTTTATCTGCTCTATCCATTGCTGACAGAACATCAGCGTACAAATGTACAGCAGTTACACTAATAGTCAAACTAGTCAAAAGTTTATATACTAAGCACATATACAATTTTTTTTTTTTTATCATTATTACTATATTTTACAGCTTAGATAATAGTAAAGTCATCAGAACTATGAAGTGACACAAATGGAAGTATATAGAAATGACGCAATAACCAAAAAATATTCCCATATTATCTAAACCAACTTCAGTTTTGAATATTTATTTATTTCAAAAATATCATTATGTTTCTAGGGAGTCGCACCACATGACATTTGACATTTTACAACCTGAACCAACCTTATTTGATATATTGACCTTGACTTTAATTTGGCAGACAAAAGTTTTTCACATATTAATAAATAGTAAATGTCACGGAGTCAACAGCAGCGCCAGATCCTTCAGCTCCTCCTTCTCGTTCTCAATCACCTGAAAACTGATGCACTCCACCTGTCAACACCAATCAATCCTAAGGTATTAAGCCACCATCACATCCCTTTCTCTGTGTCTGGTCTTGTTGTTCACGTGCATGTGTCTGCCTCCCTGGCTCCTTACCTGTTCATCTTCAGTCTCCTGCTCAGCTCTCTGGGTTCACCACCACCTGCAAAGACACCAGTGTTATTATTCAGCTAAGACTATGTTGTGAACTCTCCAAGAATATCCATACCTGTGATCATTGCTTTCTCCTCTGCTGAAGCCTCATTAACGGTCACCCCCCATTTTTTAAAATAGGCATGCAGGTGCACTATCCAAACTTAAATTGTTGTAATGGTTGGTCTCTTTTTAAAGAAGAACATCTGCAGATTATCGCAAAAGTGGATTTTCTTTCAAAATAATGAAAGTATCAAAAAGTTATAGAAGTTTAAATTTACTGTAAATAAAATGCACTATATTAATTTTCTTTTATTTATAATAAATATTTTACATAACAGGTTTTACTCTAAAATTGGTATAAAATTAAAGTCGTATGTCTAAATAAGTTATGTTCCAAATTTGAAGTTGATATGAAAAAAAATGAGGTTCCTGTGAGATTTTATTTAGGGCGTCATACCACAAACAGCCACCGGGTGTTTTTTGTCAAGTTTATAAAAAGGTTTGATTCTAAAAGACTGTAATGCATTTTGTAATATGACACTTGACACCGCCCCCTAAGGGGGAGGAGACAGCTATAAGATTTTAAAGTACCATTTCCATGATAACACAATGTCCGATTTCAAAATGGTTTTCACAGGATGAATCTTGGGCTTCTAAGCTTTTAAATGATATATAATTTATGATGATTACTAAAAGATTGGAGAGAGAAAAAGGACAACAACAAAAAAGAGCGCCAAGCTTCCCACAGGTGGGACGGTGACAGTCAAGGGGTTAATAAACTCTGCTGAACTGTACTTACCGGTGTTGTCCGATTTACAGGTTGTCTTGTAAAGCTGTTTACATTTTTACAGTATTTTTTACATAATTATTCTGGCAACCACAACTGCCAACTTTATTATTAGTAGTAGTATTTACAGTGTACGTATAGTATATGTTATTAATAGTTGCAGAACTTCTATTCATTCTAGCAAGTTTATTAACCACCTCTCTAAACATAAACACTCTCTCCAAACCATCACTTTTCCCTAACGAAGCCTTTATGTTTAAAGCAGACATGTTGTCTGGACAGTGTCTCTGTCCAAGGGCCTCCAACCATGCTACCGGTGAGGGCACATCCTGTCCCGGAGCAGGGGGAGCTCTGGTCGTGGGAGGTGAGGCAGGCAGGTTAAAGGTTAGCGCCCCTCTCTCTTAAGTTTTAAAAGGCTAGGACACTGGTTATAGACCTGGGTCACTAGCCACTGGCTTCTAGTGAGACTGCTGAGCCTCAAGCAGACAGCACTAATGGCTTCCGCAGCTATAAAAGGCTGAAAGTGGAAACGATTAGCTGGCTCATTTGAGGGGCGACACATGCTACCTCAACAACATGTTAGGCAGCATCATGGTGGAGACATTATACACACACAGAAGCACAATTGGACTTAACAGCCATGGGATGATTTCCTCATCAATCACCAGCACAGTTCACTTAGCATTTGACCTATATTAGCAAACAAGGCCTCTGTGTGAGCTCACTACATACCTGAGCGGCTGGCTTAACACAATGTCCGATTTCAAAATGGTTTTCACAGGATGAATCTTGGGCTTCTAAGCTTTTAAATGATATATAATTTATGATGATTACTAAAAGATTGGAGAGAGAAAAAGGACAACAACAAAAAAGAGCGCCAAGCTTCCCACAGGTGGGACGGTGACAGTCAAGGGGTTAATAAACTCTGCTGAACTGTACTTACCGGTGTTGTCCTCTTCTGTTTGCTGACAGTGAAGCAGTAATATTTCCCCCTAAGAAAAAAACAACAACACACTGCTAAATAAATATGTTTTGTTTTACAAGGATTTAATTCCAGTGTTATTATTGTTAACTAAAATTAAAAGTAGAACTCTGGACAGTGTCTCTGTCCAAGGGCCTCCAACCATGCTACCGGTGAGGGCACATCCTGTCCCGGAGCAGGGGGAGCTCTGGTCGTGGGAGGTGAGGCAGGCAGGTTAAAGGTTAGCACCCCTCTCTCTTAAGTTTTAAAAGGCTAGGACACTAGTTATAAACCTGGGTCACTAGCCACAGACTTCTAGTGAGACTGCCGAGCCTCAAGCAGACAGTGCTAATGGCTTCTGCAGCTATAAAAGGCTGAAAGTGGAAACGATTAGCTGGCTCATTTGAGGGGCGACACATGCTACCTCAACAACATGTTAGGCAGCATCATGGTGGAGACATTATACACACACAGAAGCACAATTGGACTTAACAGCCATGGGATGATTTCCTCATCAATCACCAGCACAGTTCACTTAGCATTTGACCTATATTAGCAAACAAGGCCTCTGTGTGAGCTCACTACATACCTGAGCGGCTGGCTAAGGCCAATTAGAGTCCTTACAGAGTGACAAGCCCATTAGCATCGAAAGAGGGATGGTACAAGGAAGGAGCACTGTGTTTCATTTGTAGTTAATTTATTACATTCTCATAGAGAAATAAGAAGCTGCAATATTGACATTTTCAAATTAAAATAAAATCTGTAAATGGAAAATATCAGGTCTATTATAGGCAAGCAAATTGTGCCTGTCTCTAATTACTGAGATAAACACATTATGAGGCATTCTCAGCAATATAATAGGACAGGGCATACTCTTGTGCAATAAGTAAAAATGCTCTGCAACATGGTGAAGTGCTAATATTGTATAAAATTAGTAGGTGAATGCATGAATGAATGAATGAATGGATGAATGAACTAATGAATGAGCTAATGAGTGAACAACTGAATAAATGAATAGACATAGATATGTACATTAACCAATTGTGAAAATATCTTTTTTTTTAAACATTTTTTATTTATTTTTAAATGCAATTTTCATCAGAATATCAACCAATGTTCCTGTCCCTATTCATTAAAAATTACATTCTAGTGGGTTATATTAATGATGTTATATTTTTACTTATATTTATATACCTCTATGTTATATTTATGTGTATTTTGCTTTTGTTTAAATTTACATATCATGCTGTCTGTGCAAATTTTTTTTTTTATATATATATGCTGAGAATATGCAGTTTTGTCATTGTACTTTCTGTTACTTCGGGCCAGATTTACTGACAGCTTGCGCCAGCACAAACCCAACACAAACTCACTGAAATATAGTTTTTCATCTCACCTCAAATTATTTCCATCACAAAAGTTTTGTGAGGGAATGCAATGTTTTTCAGGCAAACGCAATACCTTTGCAAGAGAGCGCAAAAATTTTGTGAGCGAAGGCAAAAGCATTGAAATATATATTTCTTTCCTTCAATCTCATTATTTTACCACGGGGAATGATCTTAGGGAATGATCTCAACCTTCTTTCGATTTTTTTTTCTCACAGTATTTATCAGTATTTAATTATTGTGATATTTATATGGACCTCTAACTATAACTCTGTTAAAGAAAGAACATGTTGTATTTTTTTTTACATTACAGTGTTCAGTGATACAACATTAGTGTAGCTTGGTGCAATATTTTCAGTAGTTTTTGTTACCTATTTTGGCAATGAAAAAAAAAATAATCGAAAAAGGTTGACAGAAAACCCTGAAATAATGTAGACCAAATGTCTACAGAGGCTACAGCCATACATTGGGCCTTAGATGAGAAAATATGATTTCTTGAAAATCCTATAATAACTTTATAAAAGGAAATTAAATAAATAAATAAACAATCAAACAAATAAATAGATTTTTTTTTAGCCACAAGTGTTACTGTTTTCTGTTAATGTACTTGACATGATTTTATATGTTAAGAATATTTAATTCATAAATAGCAAGAACTTCACCAGGGAAGGATCCCCTAAGGTTACATGTTTGTTCTTGTTGCTGGTACCAACAGTTTGTTTTATCTGCATCTTGTTGCGATGTGAAGAGTGAAGTCAAGCACTTCTAAATTTCTTATCTCAGAAACAGATAAATCCCAGTTAGTGAGAAGAGCAGCACATAGGGAGACGTCCACGCTTACGTAACTAAAAGTCCATAGCAGCCACTCCGATCTGAACATGATCCAGAACAGCTAATCCTGCGTTTAAGTGGGTTATTCAGCCGCTCGCAATGATGGTTTTCATCACCGAGTATACCCAAAATATCTAACATGGGAGATCTTACGTTAGTTTCTGGAAGAACACCATTAAGAAAAAAGAAATTGATTAAGCCAGGCCATTTTTTCAATGAAGTGTAGAGGTTTACTCATTCAAACTTGGGAGATCCCATTGAAACCACAAAATCCCGAGTAACTCTTTCATCAGTTTAGCATGTCCTATAGCATGCCCTTTTGTGAATGAACCAGCATGTGACAGCACACTTCAGGTGAAAGGGGTGATAAAGAATGGACTTGTGGCTGGTCAATGTTTAGCTTGCGTTTTTCAGAATACACCAACACATGATCAATGGTTTGGTTTGTGCAACAAAGGCAGTCCTGTTGCCTGACTATCTGATTCACAAACAGAGGAGAATGTCTCGAGGGCATCAGGAACTTTGCAGGGGCTGAGGTGCTATCAGTCATCATGTGGTAGATCAAAGAGCAGCCTAGAGACTGTCAAACAATGGAGGAAAACTAACAAAACTGACTGAGAGAGGGAAAGAGAGAACAGAATGAGGCAAGGAGAAGTAAAATTATAGGTCACTGAATATTAAAGGGGTCATATGATGCGATTTCAATTTTTCCTTTCTCTTTGGAGTGTTACAAGCTCTTGGTGCATAAAGAAGATCTGTAAAGTTGCAAAGACTAAAGTCTCAAATCCAAAGAGATATTCTTTATAAAAGTTAAGAGTCAACCACGCCTACCTAAAATGGCTCGTTCTAACACGCCCCCACATGTCTACGTCACGATGTGGGAAGATTTGCATAATGCCGCCCAAATGTTCACGCAAAGAAAGAAGGCGTAACTTTTATTCTCGCTATAGTATTGTTGCCGCCGCCCCGCCATGTCGTAAAGGCGCTGTGTGATTCGTTGTGAAAGCGAAACTACTTTGTTTGGTCTTCCAAAAGAGGACAAATCAGTGGTTAAGTTGTATTTACAACACTGTTCCAGTACACTTCAACCCAAATATTCAGTTGTGTGCAGCACCATTTTATGGAGGACCGTTTCCTGATCCTGGTAGAGTAGACTACAATGCCGGCTGTTCTGACTCACATACTATAAGTATGTTTTTTATATTTAAAGAGTTTTTATATTTTATATTTTTTATATTTAAAGCGAGTTTTTTGGGCAGTGTAGAGTAGGGCTTTTTGTTTGTCATTTCTCCGATCACAAATGCAGACATGGTTTTATGTTTACGCGGCGCGATGCAACGCAATGCGTAAAAAGACAGTATAAATCATTATAATCCATAATTATGTCCCCACTGGATGCAACGAATGCCTCATTTATAATGAGTTTTCATGTTTTTGAATCATCGCTCCGGCCGAACAGGGCATCATCACAGTATGGTAGGGGCGTAACATTTCCGTCACACGCTTGAGGTATTCGGCCAATCACAACGCACTGGATAGCTGGCCAATCACATCACACCTTGCTTTTCAGACCGATGAGCTTTGTAAAAATCGACGTGTTTCAGAAAGGCGGGGCATAGAGAAGAAACAATAATGTCCAGTATGTGGAAAATAATGTGTTTTTTGAACCTTAAACCACATAAACACATTTAATTATACCAAATACACAAAATAATTTTCCTTTTAGCAACATCATATGACACCTTTAACTTTATAATCCGTGTGTAGGTTGGTTGCATGTTAACCCAAAGGGAAAGAAAATATAACAACTGAAATCTCTTTAATATCTATAATGTCTAATGTCTTTAGTATTTGTTTTTCCAAACACAAATGAGATTAGACCAATGTGCACAAATGCTACTCAGATGTTTCTACCAAGGAAAGAAAAAAAAAAAACACCACCAGACATTTTTATTCATTTATTAATTAATTAATTTTGTATTTTTAGTAGAAACACTATCTTAGTAAAGTTATTACCAAGGAAAACTAGGAAAATGCCTACCAAACTAAATCAATGATTAAAAGAGGATTTTTGTGTTTATGGATTAACTGTCACATTATATAATTTGTAAATCTTATTTACATTATATATATATATATATATATATATATATGCTATGTCTGTCAACTAAATTTAAGTGATTTTAACTGAACCATTGGATGATATGCTGATTAATTAATACAATTAACAATTAATCATATATATGGATAGGCTATTTGGTGAGAAAAATACAGCAAATGAAGATGATTTAGAGACATTACATTGTGGCAGATGGAAGCATAAAAGTAGTAATGACTTTACAAGGCAATATATGCCCCCTTTTTTTCCCCTTTTTTTTTAATAAAAACACAATCTTGAATAAATACTCTGCATTACCTACACTGAACAAAAATGGTGAAGAAACAATTTTCACTCATAAATTGCTAGTAAACTTCACAGTTAATTACAAAGAATCGGCAAATAACGTTGACATAAGCATGAAATTTTGAAGTGGAATAAATGAAATTGTTTTTTCTTGCAAGACTTAATCCACTTCAAAATTTCATGCTTATGTCAACGTTATTTGCCGATTCTTTGTAATTAACTGTGAAGTTTACTAGCAATTTATGAGTGAAAATTGTTTCTTCACCATTTTTGTTCAGTGTAGGTAATGCAGAGTATTTATTCAAGATTGTGTTTTTATTAAAAAAAAAGGGGAAAAAAAGGGGGCATATATTGCCTTGTAAAGTCATTACTACTTTTATGCTTCCATCTGCCACAATGTAATGTCTCTAA